CTCTCCCCGGGCCGGGGAAGGTTCCGCTCCGGCGGCTGCAGGCGCGGCTCGCAGGCAGCGGGAGCCGCAGGAGCTGCCCCGGCAGGAGCGAGCCCGGGGGTATCCGCCGCGCCGGGACGCTCCCGCTGTCTGCAGCTCGCAGCTTGGCTCCCGCCCATCGTGCTCTTCCTGCAGGGAAAATCCCCGCCGCCGTATCGGTAGCAGAGGTGAAACCTTCTAGAACGCGTCCCAAGGGCGCTGGGAAGGCTTTTGGCGCTGCATCTTTTATATTCCGCTGGCAGGGGTTTTTTTATGTAGCCTTTAGCAGCGTGGTGTCACGCTGGCCGCGTGTTCCCCAGATGTGATCAGCAGTAATTAATTCCGAGTTAAGCTGTCCACACTGATGCCAGTACATCCCTTTTCTGAGAGTGGATGAACGGGAATTTAACACCGTTTCCACTGGCAGTGGAGAATCCATAAAACCAGCTTAATGCCTTTCTGCTGTGTTGGTGCTTCAGGATTGTCAGAAACAAGAAATAATGAGCATTTTTTTAATTACACCAAAGAGGACTTGGCTGATCAAGAGTTCCAGGATTTCTACTGCAGGGTCATTTATCTGGTTAGTTTTCCTCTGACTTTAGAACAGAGTTGTTTAAAGAGTATTCCTCCCAGAGAAACAAACTGCAGTTTGGGAAACCTGAGTGAAGCTCTTTGCAGGGAGTGCTACTGAGAGCCCTTAGATCCAAACCCCTATAAAACTGGGCAGCAATATTCCCTCTCCTGCCTTAATAATAAACTTTTTTAAGGTTCTTCTCCAGACTTGAAGGCCCTTTATTTGTGTTTTCCTATCTGTGAACTTTCGGTCTTCTAATGTGGAATGCATTTTGCTTAAATTCTCTACATCTCTTCTTCTGGGTACAGTTATAATCTGGTTATTTGGGATCAGGCTGGGAAGCTTTTGAGGTTCAGTTACAAGAACTGCTTTGATTCACAAGTGAGATACAGATCTGACCCGTTAAATCTTGGTGCATTTTGGGCCTGCCTGTTGTAGATTTGCATTTTCCCAATGAAGTGCCTGGGCTGGAGCAGGTGCTGCTGAGCCCCCAGCACGCTGTGGGCAGCAGGGATGGATGTTTTGGTGCAGGATGCTCTTTCTTCCCTGCTCAGGACCCCCTCTGTGGGATGGGCTCAGATTTTAGACGCACCCTAGAGCAAGAACTGGGCCAGAGCTGAGCACTCAGGAGTGCTGCTGAGATCTTAACAGTCTGCTATAAAATTGGCCTGGTAACTAAAATAGGATAGAAAATATCTGTACAGCCCTTTGGGGCAGGTTAATTAAGAGCATCCACATCACAAACCATCCGTTTCTTATTTACATACCAGCAGCTTTGATAGCCTTCTGAGCATCTCCATGCTGCAGGGGTTAATTGGTTTGCTTCCAGACATACCTGGGAGTTTTCTGTTGGAAAAGGGAGCTTTGGAACAGTTCTCTTTACTGTGGTTAAATGTTTCATAATTTGTTTGCAGCAGATTGTGTAACGTGTAGGATGCTCTGAGTGATCTTGTAGGTACAAGACAAGGTCAGCTTGGACTTTCCTACCTTAAATTTCTGAGCTTCCAAAAATTATTAATAGCTTACTTCTTAAAATGTTGCCTTGTTAAGGGTGATTTATGTAACAAGACAACAAAAAGCATGAGGTGAAATACCAAAGCTCTGCTTTAAGCTTATAATTTTCTGTGTGATGAGTTAAATAATTGTTTCTGGTTGAAGATTTGCCTGTTCAAACACATTTTCCATATGCATGACAAGGATGGTTTAAAAAAATCCCCAAAGGAGGGGATAAATACATTTTTTAAAAAGTGGTACTTAGCCAAATAGGCTGAAGTTACTCTCAAGATGTTGAGTTGTAAAAAGGGAATGATCAATGCTGCTTGGTAATCATGCTCTAAAGTGTACATTGACATATTCACATTCACATTTTAGCATTTTACATGGATATCTCAACACAGGGCTTTTCTGTCCACAAATAGAAGCTCTGGTCCAAGCATAGCTGAGGAAATTTGAATGTGTTGTGCCTATTTGAGAAAATTATTGATTACAACGTGTCTATCATTGTTCTCATTCATGGGGCAAATATGCTTTACTCTCTCCTGTCATAAAAAATAAACTGTGTTTACCTATTCTGCATCAAACTTCTGCTTTATCCTCCTTCCCTGTGTGGATTTACTGATTGTGCTGATCAATTGTGTTTGGATTTCCTCTTCAGTTTCACTCTCTTCCATTGAAATCAGCAGAGTTTGTTTCTTCTTGGCATTTCTGGGTATGAATTTGGGCAGTTTTGGGGCTGTCTCTCCCCAGATGGGAGCTGCTTTTGACCACTCTTTTCAATTCATCTTGTTTTCCCTGCACTTGTGTTTATCTACACTTTGGCCTTAATGGTTTCTCAAGTGTCTTGTTACTAATGAATTGCTTTTTCATTGTTGTAATTAGTGGCTTTGTTTGTTAATCCTGCTCTTCTCCCTCCAGCCTCAGCTGTGTGATTTCTGCAGATGGGAATTCAAGTACCAGGCTTTGCTGTTCCTCCTGGAGGCTTCAGCCTTTCTCTCCTGAGGGGTGTAGCTGTGTCCCAGCAGGTTTGGGGCAGGTTTAGCTGTTCCTCAGGTGTG